ATCAATGCTATGAGCAGGCAGCGTTAATTCATAACGCCGTATTGTGGCTGCCAACTGGAAGCCATATCGTTGCCCGCTCGAGACATTGTGGATCGCACCAGTAAAGTGGCGGGGAGGGGGGATCAGAGGGGGGGGGGTGGCGGCAGATACATGCATGTATCTGCCGCCACCCCCCCCCCCCCCCCCCTCTGATCCCCGCCGTGCCATCTTATGGACCGGAGGGTTTTGGGCGACACAAAATCTGTGCGCGGCTTGCGCAGCAAAGCGGTTGCCGCGCGCGGCCTACGTCCCGAGAGGCAAGCAAGTTCAGTGCGAGCATCTCCCTTGAAACTGGTTCCGAAGAGTTCCACTGACCGTAAAATTTTCGAAGAAGATGGTGTTAGGCAGCAGTGCTGCAAAACATCTTCCATAGTGGTGATTTCATTTTTAAAAATTCGTAACTATTCAATTATTTACAAGCAAAACAAGTCATTGCACATTTCACAAAACATATGGACAGCTTGAAACTACCATCCGCTCTTCCCACGGTCCTCCGCTGGCGTATGTCTCAGGGCACAGGAAGTATTGAGTCTAACAAGGGAAGGATACTTGGTGAGGGTGGCCTTCTGAATTAAAACGTACACCATTAAATGCATCTTGAAGCGCTGATTCCAAATCTGCTTTCGGTATCTGCTGTGCAAATTATGGACATTTCTTGCCACCAATATTTCGCAATGTTTTGATGACAGAAATCACCAATATCGTTAGAATGTTCATTACGCACTACAAAAAAGCGCCCAAATAAAACAAAGCTTTACATTGAACTCAGAAAAACTGTCTCCGATATATCAGAATCTAAAAAGCCTGAATACTCATGATTTTGACTGCCTAAATCTCTTGAAAATAATAAGGAAAAAAGTCCATAACTTCATTCAGAGAGTCGCACAACAGACAGACAACCAACACAGATTTGTAGCGTTTCAAGGCGCATCTACCGGTATATAGGTCGTATTTAAAATCGTGACGACGGATTTGACTGCGGTCTTTGCGCCTACAGGAGCGTAAGATACTTATACAAAGAGGCATCACCTCAAAGCTCAATTCAATCATTTCCAGTGTGTAAATAATATCATATGTGAGCAGAAAAATCATTCAAGTAGCGCTGAAAACCAAGAAAATGCGCTTTCCGGAAGATGTGTGCGTGTTGCGCACGGTCGCTCCATCGTCACGATTTTTTGAATGCCCTATACATACCATTGCAAAAAGCCGCGGTCACCAAGGATCCTTTCCTTGTAAGGTAGGCGCCAGACTAAGCGACTGTTTTGTCGACCTGCAGCTGAAGAGGCAATCGAGCGCAGAATTAACGCTAATTCTGCGCTCGATTGCCTCTTCAGCTGCAGGTCCGCGCACCTTCTGCAGCTGAACAAAACATTGCTTAGTCTAGCACCTACCAAACTTCACAATCCGGCAAAGCGCAAAGCTGCGGCACACGCCTAATTACGAACGTCAAAGTTCTTACACCTTGGCAAATGGGATAACCGTAATACTTCCCAGATCTAAAGCGTTGAAAAGCTAGCATTGGATGAGAAAAAAGCGGTTGGAAAGGCGAGATCATATAGAGTGTATTGGCATACTGCAACGGTGAACAATGGCCGCAGCCAATAGACTCAATAGATCAAGCACTGCTTTATAAAAATCATGTATCGTTACAATTCTCACATAAAAGAGACCTCGGTTTCGCAGCCATTTGTTGCGCGGGAGCAACTAGATGCGTCCTGAAATGCTTGCACTATTTTGATCTGTCATTTCTAAAAAGAAGTAAAGAAGGTAAAGAAAGGTACATGAAGTAAAAGGTAGCCATCGGAACTTCCCAGTAATCTTCCTCACATTTAATCACACATTTATTCAATAAAATTCCACCTTGAGATGCACATTTTCTTGTGCTTACAATTAGTCGATAGGCATTGCAAACAAAGAACATAGACCGATCGAGTAGAATAATTTACATCAAAATTCACAGCGTAAAAAGTAGGATTCAAAGGGCTCCAAGATGATCCTTCACTTGTTGCTTTGTAAGACGTTGGAATCCTTTAGCGTTGCAAATCGCCACCTGTAACATGCAGTCAGTCAACACAATATTGTTGGAAAGAGTATGAACCGGTAGTAGAGAACCAATTTCTGCTAGGCGCTGCTTCCGCGACTAGTGATCCTCCCACGATTAGCAAAAGTATGTGTGAGAGGACCTGTGGCCGTATTCATCAACGAAACCCGTGGGTTCCGGAACCCACTGGTTTAGTGCTTTTGATGAATATCGATTCTACTCCAGGGAAGAATCGATATTCATCAAAAGCATTAGCCCAGTGGGTTCCGGAACCCACGGGTTTCGTTGATGAATACGGCCACAGGTATCCGCGGAGAGCCTACTGGAGGAATCCGTCCTCTACCCAGGCTGTAGGTGTATTTTATAACTGGATGCTTGGATGAACTATGCGGACATGATTGGATTGGTACATGCAGAATCAACAGAAAGAAAAACGGTTTGCATTAAAGGTGACTAAGGCTCCATTCACAGCGATACTATGTGAACTCTGACAAATCTCACCTATTTTAAGCAGTCAAATATTGCTCTAAAAGAAGGAAAAAGGGCTGCTGGGATGACCTGAATAAAAGGTTCAGCGAAGATGAATGAGAAAGGCCTTCACTCGAGAAGTAAATAAAGGTGTCCCAAATCATTACAGTTTCGTACAAAAAGATATTCGACTTTCAATTTTGCGAACTAAAAAAGTATTAGCAAAGAAATCACTAAGGAATGCTAAAGAGAGATAAGTCATGATCACAGATAATGGTAAGTCAGGAATATTCGATTCTCGACTAATCACATACCAGCCTTCGAATACTGAGGGTTTATTTCCACTTTCAATCTGTTTTTCCTTGAACATCCCAAGCCCGATACGAAAGGATGTAGTCATAGGTGCGATAGTGGAAGCAGGTAAAGGGGATTTCGGCTACGTCCAAGCTGGAAAAGTGAAGAAGGTAACTGAGCCCCGAGATGATTGCTGCCATAAGCTTAGATATGGAGGTGGGTTAGAGGTGAAAAGGAGGAGAATAAGTGGTACAGAGATTAATATGGAGTTTTTTTTAAGCTTTTAGCTTTGAGAGGTGTCAAACAGAGACTCTTGATGCAAAGAAGCTTCATGTCTAGACAATCGACATACCATTCAAAATCTTGGAACATATAGAATCGGAATAGACCGTCTCTTTTTCTCCAGCTCTTCTAATAATCCAAATATAAGACATTTTATCTATTAACAACGTCGACTAATTCTATGTAATCACTCTGCGCTCCATTTTTGAAAGGATGAGAAAGGCTAGAGAAAACGAAACGGTCTAGCCTGCTCCACCCCGTCCCTCAATGGCTTAGCTTTTGTGCGTCGCCGGAGCAAGACTTTTTTGGAAGGGGAAAGCTTTGTGCACCAACAGCTGATATACCGTTCGATAGCTAAGAACACGAGGATTGGACATAAACCGTCTCCCTTCTACTATCTTGAATGTGAGCAATTTTATCTACCTACAATATCAGCTAATTTTGTGCAACTATTTTATGCTTTATTTTCAGTACCGGAAAGGTTTTTTTCGAAGCTTCAGATGCAAATTAGAAACTCCAAAAATAAGAAATTCCACTGCGGTCTTATTTCTTATTACCGCCTTTAATAAAAAAAACTGTTCCGATTTCTCAGTGAATACGCTTGGTTATTTCTTTCCTGCGACAATGCGTATTCATTTATACAATGTCGCTTAGTTGAAGAATCAGTCCACCTAATTTTTCTATTTCTCAATCAAAACGCCATTCTGGGAGAGACAAAAGTCACAAGCACGCTCTTTTTCAGCAGACGGTGTTGCTTTGACACTCTCTGAAAATGCAGCCATGCATTGAATAAGAAGCAGCAGCTGGCGTTTCTTTTCCAAAAAATGCATCATATCTCAGTCTCAACCTCAAGTGAAGGAGGTCACCCAGACTGATCCAAAAGTGAAGGAGGCAGAGCCGTTGTCACCTATCGCACTATGGGTGTAGCAATCAGACACACTCTCAAAATCTTCCGAAATAACAAGTTTAACGGACGCAATCAGTAATTGTTTTTATCGGAGAGTGAGTGAAAAGCAACAAAGAACATCTGAAAGTTGCTCAAGGCAGCGTCCAGGCAAATCTGACCCTATGGGGACTTTAAGTGAAAGTAATTTTGCGACCCTAACTAAGGCACTGCGCAAGTGGCAGCGCAGTGACTCACTAACGGCTGAGTATACGCCTCCATACTGGACCCCAGGATCGTATTTCGCATGGATTCATGGCGCAACCTATCAGTTTCGCACCAGAACCCACGCGAAACTGATGGGTTGCGCCATGAACCATGCGAAATACGATCCTGGGGTCCAGTTTGGAGGCGTACATCTCAGCCGTTAATGAGTACCTGCGCTGAAAGTTGGGCAGTGGCTTAGTCAGAGCTCCAAAATTACTACCCATGTGAGATCCCCATATGCCCCAGGTTTGCTTGGACGCTGCATTTGACTACAAGAATGGCAAAAATAGAATCAAGACTGGAGATTTTGACGATTTAAACAAACCTCTTGTAACAAGATTCTCAAACATCGCACCTTTATTTCTCTGGAGCATCCTAAACTACAAATGGAACAGATTCAGTTCTGAAATGGTTAAAGAGACTGGTATAAACGAATTGATGAGAATCTCACATTTTCGCAGTAGAAAGACAGAACACAAAAAAAATCTTCCTTCCAATTTTACTCTTCCTCCTCTTGCTTCAGCTCCAACTAGCGTGTAACCTCAGAGTTTACGTGTAAATGTAGGGAAATTCTCAGTATGTTTTCCATAATCATACCTTGATCTACTGTTGATTTCTACTAAACCGTCGCTGTTGGTTAGAAACTTGGTTTAAATCTGAGATATCTGGTTCACTGCGCATCGTATAGAGTATAGGCTGATAGATCATCATGGAAGCAGAAAGCAAATTACAGAAAGTGCGATGAGTACTGACGGTTAATGACGTGATAAGATAAAGCAGTCTTGAGAAATCACTGAAGTTGAAACAATCATTTACAGAAAGAAAGCATATTTCTTGAACAAAAGCTTTGTGCAGCAGAATTGTCCTTCCTAATCAAGGAAAGATTAGCTACTATATGTATAAAAGTACACTGGTTCAATCTATTTCGTGGTAATATGGAAAAGAGTATAGAGCATGGTATGCTACACAGTCTCGAATGAAACTTTTATGTACAGTTCATTCATTACGAAAGCTGCTTAGACAGAGGAGTGATGCACGTTGAGTAAAATGCTACAAAAGAACTTGGTCAGTTGGTTCTTGATCAGAAAGCAAACATTTTCAATGACTGCTTTCGTTTGACGTTTGCAATGGTCCATTTGCACAATAATTACAACTAATCGAATTGTGAATAATGGTAAGATATAGTGTGGAAATTGATAATGACAATGTCTCACCTCTACATTGTCTTCAGTCATTCCAACGTCAAATGATTCCCGCAGGGTCAGCAGAGCAGTATGGATGCCATCATCCAACTCAAGAGCTTCGCTATACCGTTTTTCAAGGAATGTTTTGGCGTTGACATCATTTTTTCCCAGTGCAGTAGCCTTCCAGGCAAAGTATGCTCCCTAAATGAACATGCAATATAAAAAAAGGGAACTAAAACCTTGACTATTAATCTCAAGCAATGCCAACCGATGGATCACTTTGGAATAGAAGTGGTCGACCAGGATTTACATCCCAACCAGCTACCAATAGTGAGACACCAAATGGACGCACTCCTCTGGAAAAGAAGAGTCAGTGGCAGTAGAAACAACAACAAACAACACCCGCACATAGGTTAGTGACATCCAGCTTATATCGGGAATATGATTTCAGATGCTTACTATGATTTTGACAGTGCGCGATTATATTCTTTTGGATAGCTTTACATAACTTCCAAATCTTATATATGAAGCTGAATGTCTGTCTGTCTGTATGTCTGTCTGTCTGTCTGTCTGTACGTATGTGCGGAATAGAAATTTTTATTTCTGGACCGATTTGGACCAAACTTGGCTACATTTGAAGGAGAAAAACATACTCCCTCATATAAAGTTCAGCACAGTAAGCAAATGACAGAAAGTAATACTGGAAAACGGAATTCTTTTTCCCCAAATCTGCATCTGATTCGAACCCGATGAGGACAGGAGCAATTATGATCGCGAAAGTTACAAAGATGATTTAGTAGCGCAATGGTCTTATTCTCATTTTTCGGCTCTCGTATGCCATATATGTACGCAAACACCTCCTTGCTATAAAATTGAAATAAATGAACAGTGTATGTAATTTGTACCCTGACTGAGTGTATTCCTGCATAACAGCTGCGATTTGAGTAACAAGCTGAGTGGTAGGAATCTCTTCGCCGTACATGAGCTCATACTCCATGGCGATTTTTCTAGCTCGCTTAACGAGGATGCGGAAGTCAGGGCCCATTCCACTGGAAAGATTGCTTGAGTAGTTTTGGAGTTAATTGTGACACTTGATACCACCTGTAAACACATCCAATATGTTGGCTAATTTTCTCTATTTTCGGCTGATCCTCGAAAAGCACAGATGCAATATTTTCGGTTGATAGTACTACACCATCCTTAGCTGAAAAGACACCACACGTAGTTTCGATAGCAACAGCAAAGCAACACACCTCGCAATCCTACAGAGGGCTGCCCGTTTTTTACAGCGTTCAAAGCGTACTCAATCTGCATGAGTTTCCCGGACGGACTAAAAACCGTACAAATTATTTTCCAGTATAAGAAGCAAGAATGAGCTTTGTATGGAGTGAATAGCTCCAACATATGTTGCACCAGCTTGTTAGCCAGTTGAACCAGATCAGGATCTAACACACCACTTTTTGTTGATAAGTATGACAGGAGGGCAAATTAACTACCATTCATCAGAAAGTGATACATAGTGAAGATGTCATTTCGAGTCAACCTCACTTCAAGAGTTCAAAGATGGTAGTAGAATTGCAGTTAATAACGTAAGCGAGTTTTTTTGAAAAGACGTTTCGACTATAGTGATTATCTCCCTCGATTTAATTAAGTCGAGGGCGAACGAAAAAAATATGTACCACTTCAGTGTTCTTTAAGGCCACAAGGGGGCGGAGTTCACACGATTGCATCGCCGCAATTGATCGCGACAAGACAACTGTAACAATATTGCATGTGATCTTCTTGCATTGGTTGTGATAGTTTTACAACAGGACTAATCGTGACTAACTATCACAACCGAGATACAAGAAGATCGGCAAGCAATAACTCGTAACACTTGTCTTGTAGAGATGAATCGCGACGATAAAATCGCGTGAACTCTGTTCGAGGCCTAAAAGGCGTAAATTCTTTGGGATCGTTCAGACCGCGCCGGTACCCGTCCAAACCCGCCCGAATACGTCCGAATCCGCCCAAATACGTCCAAACCCGCCCAAATACGTCCGAATACGCCCGAACCCGCCTGAACGCCGGAACTGCCAAAGCGCAGCGGCTATGCGGCAAATTGACATATTGGAGCACGCATGGGATTGATCCTTGTGAAATCGGAGTAGTTGCAAAAGATCAGTATGTAACGTCGAGCTACGTGTGACTAAGTTATATGCACGAGGCACGCAGTATTCTGCGCGTGCTCCAATATGCCAATTTGCCGCATACCCGCTGCGCTTTGGCAGTTCCGGCGTTCGGGCGGGTTCGGGCGTATTCGGACGTATTTGGGCGGGTTTGGACGTATTTGGGCGGATTTGGACGTATTCGGGCGGATTCGGACGTTTCGGGCGGGTTTGGACGGGTACCGGCGCGGTCTGAACGATGCCTTTCCGTTTACGCTCAGTTTTGTATGTACAGCCATTTTCGAAATTTTTGACGGCGTACCAATCTTGATGACTTGGAAAAAACTTGAATCTAGAGATGCTTTTGGGTCAATTTCAAACCGGAACCCGAAGATATCTGTCTGAGGCCAGCAGCCAAAAACGGATCCTATACTCCAATATCTTAATTTGTGAATGGAGAAATGACTTTCTACACTTTAGTAGGTACATATGACACCAAATCGTATGACAACGCTGCCGCGATCAAAGAAATCGTAAAATACGACGTGGCAATGGTACATGCATTTCTCACCGTTCGGCTCTACTCTAGTGCGAAGCCCGGCCCGAAAAGAAGCCTCAATACTATAATGCATATTTACAAATTTAATTACCTGAAAGTAGTCAAGGAGAAGCCGTAATGGTCGCCCATCGCGAATTTCTGCTTCTAGATGTGCTACTAAATCATAACAATGATGCTGATCCAATTCCACGCGATTTCGCTACACGGGTAACCACCATGTATAACATTCATCAAATGAGACAATGTGGAAATAAACAGCAATGACCACGCTTATTAGCTACAAACAAATAACTTCTCAGCGAAAAGGAAGCAGAGTATAAGAGGCTAGGCACTGATCCCGGTGAAAGATTGTAGCCGAAGTTTATGATCTGATAGAGAAAATGGCTGATTTAACTATAGCTAAATCATCCTTTATAAAGGATGACCTCAACGAAAAGTTGTGCCATCGAAATGGAGCGCCGCAGACGCAACCATGTTACTAGAAGTCAGCGAGCACCAAGGCTACCGCGAGAACTAGGCGTCGAAGTAATTCGGTGTCCGTGGGTGCACCATAAGTCAAATCTTACCTTATTCGACGCCTAATTTCCAGTGTTCTGCTGTCTAGCGGGTTACAGTTGGGTACTCAGACACTCGCTGCGGCGGCGCGCGCGCCAAGTGCGCGCGGGCGCTCATATCCCCCGCCGCCGGCCGTCAAATGGCGCGCGCGCCGCGAGTAATTGGAAGCGCGCCGCGAGTATTTAAATGGGACGCGCCACACGATAATGGCACGCCGCTCGCACGGTATGAATATTGCAATTCGCCAGTTGCCAATTTCAAAAATTCCAATTTTCAATTTATTCAAACTCGGCACCTACTCGCAGTGCTTATGAGGACTGACTCCCAGTGGAAGAACTAGAAGAATCCCGCTTGTGTTGATGAGACAACTCCATTGCGAAACAGCGATAACCTCAATGAATTAGCGATAAAGCACCCAAAACACTGCGTCGTACTTCACGCGGGTATCGCTTGTGCTTACAGCGTGTGGGAATGCGGGAAATATTATGGCACGCGTCTCACTGATAAATTGCGCGCCGCTCGCACTCTCAACTAGGGCGCGCCGTTCGCAGTACAGTGCTGTAATGGCGCGCGCGCCGCCGCGCCGAGTGTCGAGTAGGCGCGCCGGCGGCCGTAATAAGGCGCGCCGCTCGCTGGCTGCGAATGATGGCGCGCCGCTCGCACTGCAACCTCAGCTATGGCGCGCCGCTCGCACTGTTGCTTCAATTAAAGGCACCGTCCACCCAAAGTGAGGGTTGATGAGATTTCGGTGCATACTAGTGTGGGGGCCCACACTAGTATGCACCGAAATCTCATCAACTCTCACTTTGGGTGGACGGTGCCTTTAAAGCGCGCCGCTCGCACGGCAGCCTTAAATAGGGCGCGCCGCTCGCACTGTAGCGCTATTATGGCGCGCCCGCCGCCGCAGCGAGTGTCTGAGTAGGTGCCAGAGTAAGCGAATATTTTGTTCAAGTTGGGGTCCCGCGCAGAACTGGCGTTACTAATCATTGTGGCACAACGCCAAGTTGGCATTATGCCACAATGATTAGTGATGCCAGTTCTGCGCGGGACCCCAACTTGAACAAAATATTCGCTTACTCTGGCACCTACCTTGCAGTGAATACAGTGTGAGCGGGTCACACTTCGCTGCTAATAACAAAAAGAGCTATTCGTGAGCAATTATCAGACATTGTGTAATGAAGGAATATCGATAAGGGGTTTTATGGCGACTTTTAGGCGTAATGATGGCGCCTTCGAAGAAATGGGCGAAGGGTGGGGCCCGTGCAAATGTAAAACACAACAAAGATTATAGTTAGAGTTTACTGAGAGCTCAACCGCATGCGGTGATGCAGTGGTAGAATTATCGTGGTAACAGGCGAAGCGAAAAATTGCTTTACGCACACCTATATCACATAAGGTCACCAAATGGTGACTTCAAAGCATACCGATGGGAGCTTTATTATAGCGGTTTGACAAGGCCGGGCGGAGCCGGGTAAGCCAGCTAGTACTATATATATAATGTGATATGATACGATATGTAATAGAATACAATATATAATTTGTAGAATATGATATTGTACAAGGGCTGTGTCTTGTGGTAAATGGGTTTCGACGTTTTTGAGAAGTAATGCGGAGAGACTCTTGGGCGTTTTTGCCCGTAACGACAAGAAAGTACACAAAAACGGTGGTTCAGTATTATTTATTGAGACCAGCGAGTAAGCGAGAGCAGAAAAACGTACGATTCAGTCGTGAAGCAGATATGCAAGTGAAAGTAGTGGAAGAGGTTCGGCCACGCCTATCTCGGCGTGACCTAGGGTCGCGGCGGGGTACCATCGGTACGATGATACTCCCGCCGTGAGGGGAGCAGCCAGAACACAGCACATAGAATACAACAACAAAATTAAGTATATCACTTGTCCGTCCATCTGGATGTAGTAGACTGAGCTGGGGTTGAGTGGTCGACGGAGTTGTTGATGGAATCGGCTGGAGACGGGCTGTTGACTTCGTGGCTTGGGGGCGGGCTGGAGGCGGAGCTGGTGGCGTTGACTTCGTGGCTTGGGGGCGGGCTGGAGGCGGGGCTGGTGGCGTTGACTTCGAGGCTTGAGGTTGGCCTTGAGGCGGAGTTCAGTGCCACGGACGTTTCGGTGCGTTATGTGGGGCTCGCCTGCTGGAGCAAAGGAGTTGTGGCCAAGGCCCAATTTCCACACTTTACCCCGCAGTCATCTTCATGCGCTGCTTTCAGGCAACGCTGGAAGAGCCCATCGTCGCGGCTTGTGCGGCTTTCTCGACGGGATCCCTGAAACGAACGCACCTACCGGAAAAATGGTTGTCTCGGTTCTCCTCCACACTGCAAAATACACAGTTGGATCTGGGTGAGGTGCGTTCCAGGGTCCGTTTATTCTGCTCCAATCTGGGCGTTTGACTCGAGGATTCTGCCGTTCTGCCCGACAATGGTTCTGCACAGCATCTCCAACGCGGCCAGCTTGGTGCCAAGTGGGTGTCGTCGTAGCGGTCCAAGTCCTCCAAGGTTTCTTGCAGCTCCGCTGTGAGTGACATCGTTGGATGGTCGCCTTCAAATGTATCGGTGGTTCTAGGCTTTAGTTGCCTTAGGCGAAAGAGCGCCTGTAGAAGTGTGTTATATAGAATACATTAGCTAATAAGCTTTATGAGTCAGACGACGTGCACGTATTAGTGCAGTGGTAGAATGCTCTAGATAATAGGCGTGGTAGGCTAAAGTAACAGACTATCACAGCAGGTCATGCTTATGGCATGACCTGTAAGATGTTTCGGTGAGACTAAAGATACGGTTATTAGGAAGGTGCCGACATTGGCGGCACAAGAAGAGATCAATTCTTGGCAGTTTTCACTTAGAAGGTCTGGCTTTCTCTTGGCCGGTTTTCACTCTCGCAAGCCTCTTTTCGCGGGTCCCCGTTATCTGCCCCTTTTGTACCCCTGCCAGGGCCCGGCACGCGTGGCTTGAAGCATTTTTGGAAATGAAGTCTCCTATGAATTCGCGAGAATTTACGAAGTCCCTTTTGACGTAAAAGTCAGTAGGGAAACCCTTGTTCAATCAACATAAAGCATAACGATAAAAAAGCGAAAAAGCGAGTTTTGAGGTATGGGGCATTTAAAATCGTGACATTGGCGCGACCACGCGCGACACGCACGTCACTTCCGGAAATCGCATTTTCTTTCTCTATTCGAATGGTTTTTGCGCTTACGTATGGTAATATTTAGACCCTGGAAGTGGCTGTGCTGAACGTTGAGGTAATGCCTTCTTGTGTGAGCGTTTTATGTTTCTGTGGGCGCAAAGTCCGCAGTAGAATACGTCGTCACAACTTTTTAAATGAACTATATCTAATATAACAAAAAAAGCAAAAAAAAACACTGAGTCGATTCAATTCTTGTGTATGGTAACATGTTAGTGTTCAGAACGTTGAAAACCTCTTAGGCCAACCAGATCTGTGACCTCAACAATCTGGCGATGCATTTTTCGCCACATAGTTCAAAGGACACCGCGTGTGATTGGAGCGCGATATCTATCAATGCTTCGGTTCACACTATTTTTGGCTCAAAAAAGAGGAGAAGCAGTGGTTCGATTCGCTCTCTTCGCTGTGTGATAGATTTTAGAGCGTTCTCTCTAAATCAAAAAGGTCCAAAACTTATGTGAACTCTCCGATATTTATGCTCCGAACCAACCCAGTTGGTTTGGTGTTCGTCTAGAAACCAACAAATTCGGGAACGGGTATTAGGACACATGAGTTTTTCAAAATTTTTACATAGTATAGTTTGTAGTAATACTGTGTACACATAGCCCAAATTCGGAGCCATGTGATTGTTTGTGCGCTGTAAACAAGCCATTTGTTTGTTAGAGTCTTGCATTTGGAATCCGCGTGCTTGCCAAAGAACACGTTCAACTCGTAAAACCTGACATGTTTGTCGTTTTTTTTCGGTGCTTCGCCCAGAGCCTTATAAAAACGACATCCCCGTTGCTTCTAACCCCAAAAACGAAGTGCAGTTTGACCCGAACCATTTGTGCCGGGCCCTGACCCCTGCTGAGAGGACCAAATCGCATTTTGTTTCCTCCAAATCCGTATTACTGATTTTCAATCATATCCTTCAACAATATACAGGGTGTCCCAAAAAAATGTATCGAACGTTTGATCGTTAATATCTCTCTTCCCAAGAAGTCTTTTGTTTTGCTTCAGGTACCGTTTTGTAGAGCTGGCTTCAACTTAGATTTGCATTATAAAAAGAGTCACCCATCTCTCCTCATTACTGTAAGATTACGGTAGAAACTTCAAAGAAGGTTTTGAGCAATAAAAGGCCACATTTTGCCCCAGAGAGAAAATAAAACAGCCTGAAAACTTTTGCACTAGGCTAAATAGAGTTGCTGATTATAATTGTAAAGTTCCCAATATATCATGATGCTTCATTGAAGAGTTATGCCAGGTAAGAGGTAGCGGCCATTTTTTCAATGTTTCTAAAAAATGCGGTTACACCGTTTAGAAAGCTTCGTAACCTTGTGAATAGTTGATTATTGAACTCAGCGTCCATAAAAACCCCAATACACAAGTTTTCATATTTTTTTGAAAAATTTTGAAACGGCAGCTTTTTCCACATTGAGACCATATGTTTCAAGTTTCTACCGTAATCCTACAGTAATGAAGAGAGATGAGTGATTCGCTCTATAATGCAAATCTAAGTTGAAGCCAGCTCTACAAAACGGTACCTGAAGCAAGGCAAAAAACTTCTTGGGAAGAGAGATATTAACGATCAAACGTTCGATACATTTTTTGGGACACCCTGTACAATA